GACGTCATAGCTGACCAATTGTTCCATTGTCACCAACGGAGAACGCATCCGAACTGATCCCTGCAGGATCAGTAAGGGGTAGTTTGCGTTCCGGCGTTTTGACCAATCAGCTTTAAGTGACCGTGAGTTGATTGGACAGCTGACGAAAGGGGTTCAGGAGGGAACCACATCATGTTAGCCGCGTTCTCCGACAAAGTGGTGATTAAGGGATTTGGTCCATTCAACCAGCGTCGGCAGACAACTAAATTGAGCATTCACGACTACATTCAAACTTGGTTGAATCATCTAGTTGATCTAGTCGAGAATCAACTTAGCAGCCTCCACGTGGTTCAGGACCAAACACCAAAGCCTTCTCCTATTTCAGGGCATGAAATGGCTCTCGGAGTTTGTGCATTCACTGGGATTAAAATTTGGAATCTACCTGGACTTTGGAACGAAAACGTGCGGAGGCTATCCAGGAAGCATGGAATTTCTGCAATTGGATGCTAAAACTATGGCCGAATGGGGCGTTGACTACGTTAAAATGGACGCCTGCTATAGCGACACTAAGGTATGTCATGCCAAGTCGATTTTTTCTGTGCAAAATGAACCACAAATTTTTGTTGAAACGTTCGTATCGCGCGCTTCAGATTCAAGCCAATGGCTTCGCAGAGTTCGAGCACTACTTGAACGCCACGAACCGACCAATCGTCTTCGCATGCAGCTACCCAGCCTACCAGGCGTGGAGGGATGAACCGGGACTCAATTGGACTCAACTCTCTGAAAACTGCAACCTTTGGCGAATGCTTGACGATGTCCAGGTGGTGTCTTCTTTTAAAAAACACGTTGTAGCGTTTTCGAAAATGCGGGTTTAGACAGTTGGTCGCCGATAGCTTATAAGTAACATTTCATGACTTTAGTTTAAATTCATCCAGTCCACCATTTCGACAACTTGTAAATGAAAGTAGTTGCATTGTCAATTGCTGGCCATTGATTGACGATTGATTTTGGATCGATAACAGCTTGAGAATTAAAGGACTTAGATGTGCTACAATCGTTTTGTGATTGGTCGAAGCATCATGCGATGCCTCCACCACATATTATGTTAAATACGAGGTTTGACAATAATTCGTTGATTTTATTCCTAAACACCTTGTGAATCCACGAACGCAGGACTCCTGGGTGTCAGTGAGATCGATAATGAAGCAATACGAAGCCAATCGGAAGACCCTAATGCCGGTCTCCGGTCCGGGACACTGGAACGACCTTGACATGCTGCTAGGAGGCAATTTTGGACTCTCATTGGACGAGACTCGAGTCCAGTTCGGCATGTGGGCGATGCACGCCGCACCCCTTATCCTCTCCGTCGATCTGGCTGTCATGCGACCCGATGTTAAGAAGGTAAATCGATTTGTTTGTGGTCTGGACTTTAGTGTAAACTCGCGTACTTTCTGTTATCGATTTGCAATTTCCGATAACCGAACAGATTCTCCAAGCAGAAGTGGTCATTCGTGTGAATCAGGATAAACTCGGACTGCCGAGCGACCTCATTATGCCCGATTTAGGCATAAAGGTGCGTTCTGAAAAATCATCATCATTTTACATTTTCTATAAATATCCTTCATCGTTCCAGAAGGTGTCATGAATTAGTTTGTTTGTTTTAGGTTAATTTTGCACGAATTTCCACTCCGGATATTGATGCATTTACTTCAATTGTCAAATAATTCTGATTACTAATATTTGTTAAGTAGGGTATTTGTTTTACAAAAGGTTTGGAGGAAAAAGTTGGCGGATTTCAACCAAGGTTGGGCTCTGGCCTTTGTCTACCTGAATGACGAGGCTGGGCATCCCACAGCCCTTGTAACCAGCCTCAACGACCTCGGAATCCACGGAAAGGACGCCGCCTTCAAACTGATCGATGCGTTCACCGGGGAGGAAGTTCTCACCACAACTGCTTCCGATCCTTTCGAGGTTCGGATTAACCCCAGTGGAATCGTGATGCTTGTCGTTCAACCTCTCTGAGGCACCTTAGAACTGACTTCTTTCGCGAAATTGGATTTGCATTGGTTAATCTGATTCTGTTGATGTAAAATGTCGATATATCCAATGCCTGCTCAGTTGTGCTGCCACGTATGTCACGAGTATTCGGGGTCGTGTGTGCCAAAAAAAACGCGTAGTTGCGTTCTCAGATGGTGGATTCTGATTGGTTGTGGAGTAACCGAGCGAGTCTGGTTATCAGCAGTTGTAAAGCTAGCGTTCTGATTCTCGAACCCATACGGCAGCTGCAGGATTTTTGGTTACCATGGCAACACAGCAGTCTACTCAATGTCTCGTGTCTTCTATTGGGAGTACGGGATGATGGATGTGTATCATCGAAATTCACATCAACGATTTTATACAAATTCACACCTTACTGGGAGAGTTAATATAATTAAGTTGTGGTTGCCCGATTTCGATTGGGCAAGAATTCAACCAACCAGAGGCTTTAAAATCCCACCTGCCACTTTGACGTGGCATTACAGTGAAGAAAGCAGCTTACGTGGTAGTTTGTCATTATTTTTGCTAGATAAACCGATGTATTGCTTTTCATTGGTTAATCGTCACTTTGAGTGCGCTCTTCACTTTTTGGTCTTTTGAGGTCAGTGAACCAATAAGATTGGGGCGGGCAATATGAATATTGAAACGGGGAGCAAGTGGACGCAATTTATTCGAAAAAATATACCAGTTTTTGGAGATTCTGGCATTCCCAACGTTAGCCATCCCAGGTAAACCTCTTTGTCAGATCGCTGATACACCTTAATTGTGTGCAATTGGGCCTGTTAGCTACTTGGTGTTTCAAGGTCACGACGAATGACGTTGATCTTAATTGGATTTAAGCCGAAATTTAGGTACTTGACACTCCTACCACATTTATTACAGAGCCCAACTCCGAACTCGCACCCCCTTGACCTTCATTTATCGATCCGCCTGTAAGTACATGGCTCCACACGTCATCTAGCATCTCATATGCACCACATCCACGTATTTGAGTGGGGGATTACGAATAGGAAGGCCTATTAAACACACCCATGTCCTCTTGGAACCTCAAGCCTAGTTGTCGACCACGCCTTTGCTCAGTTCTTCACAAGGCGTAACTCAAATGTCAAGGCAGAAGTAATTATGCTGATTGAACCGCAAGAACCCTCGAATCTCGTCATTTCACCACGCTTCACGAAAACAACTACTTTACAGCACTCTCTTCCACTGAAAAGCTGATAGAACCTGAGAAGGCGGTGAAAAGGCCGGAGGACACACTCGATCATGGAAACAGTCTGAAGGTAACTAGTTCAGGCCGGCTTTTACCCACACTCTTCCGCGGATAGTCTTCAACAGGCGTCCACCTAGCTGTTGAAAGCCCGGAAACCCTGTGTTGGAGGCTGAGGAAGACCTAAGGTATCGACGCCTAAATCGATTTTTCGATTGAGTTGGAGGTATCGTCTACTTTTGCGCCATACAGACCTTAACCCCGACGTGTTGACACACGGACTGCTGGAAACGACAATAATTCGCCAAGCTGTTTGGATGTGTGATGAAGGCGAAATTGACACTTACTGTCTGGTTGGCCTTGCCGCGTCCAAATTATCATCCGTGACGCAGCCAGCACGATTACAATAACATTTTTGGTCAGTCACGTGACCTCAAAACAGGCACGTTCCTACACCACCTGACTCGCTCGTCACGTGACTTCACGTGTAATATGGCTGGATTTGGATTTACTTTCGACTTCAGCGCAATCGTCGGCTGTAAAATACGGACTGGATGTGATGTTTGCAGTTGCCACTAAGCGGGAATGCGCAGATAGGATTGCTACTAAGTCATGTCGCGGATTTTTGCGTCGACGAAATCAGAGAAACCACGACACATGTCATGAGACGGTGAAACTCGAGTCATGAAGAGGATTACTCTACCAGCAAGTTGTGTGCCAGTTATGGGGAGGCGTTCGTCACAAGAGCCAATTAAATTCGCCCAATTTCTAGTCGAAATGACCCTAGTGATTATTACAGGTCAGGTGACCTAAAGTAGGCTTCATTGCTTCAGGTGATTTTGCTGCAGTGGACTGTCAGTAATCCCGCGTGACTGCTGCTTGTTTGCTGACCTGATGGCATCAATGACTCATCCCCTATCTCATTGGTTGCTGTCATAGGTCGCCAATAGCACACGCTCGCTCATTCGCACACAGTGCAGCTGGTTTAAATCGGTGTGTCTTAGTCACCATCCCCAAGACTCCGTTTGCGTTCAACTGAGACTTGTACTCGTTCACGATTCCCATCTGTTCACACCATTTCCCATCTGTCCATCTCTCAAGGTTGCTCAAGGCACAAGCAAGTTGGTGCTTTGGAAGTCGTGGAAGCAATCCAATTTAGCAATCTACTTCTTCTATGGAAGTGAAGCGATCCAAGACACTCGAATCGAACATCTTAATTGGAACATTGGTGTCGCAGATATTCGTAACAAGTGACACTTCATAAACCACCAATCACAAACGCGGAACTCATGATCATACTGGATGATCAAAAGAGACTTTTAGAGGTGGATGATAGTTGTAATTATGAGTTGTGCAAATTTAACTCGTTTGGGTGGGTTGCACAATAAGCATAACGATCCCACTTGGATTGACACGCACTTCAAAGGACTCGGTGGGTGTAACAGTGATCAAGTCAGTTCCACTGAAGGCATCAAGTAGCTTGAATGACCGGTCCTGCTTGTCCTCACCCTGGTCGACGCCTTCAGGAATGCCCACCTCCCGGAGCGTCAGAACGATCATCTTGGGGTAGCCAGTGGAATCACTCAGGTGGAGAAAAGCAAGAGCCCAACCACCGTTGAAATCGACAAGCCTGCGCTTCCAGACCTTGTGGGTAGAGGAAAGCTACATTTACTCAGTGCGAAATCGATTAGCTTGAGGGTACGAGGTATTAACCACCTGGATGCCTTCTATGGACTCCAGCATGTCCGCTGGGCTCCCCATCTTGTCCTGGCTCACACGAATGACGAAGTCGGCTAGAAGGACCTTTAAGGAAACAAACGGAGAGTGATTGGTTTGTTCTTTTATGGACAAAGATTCATTGACTCCAAGCGACGCTATTGGCTAGTTGTATAGGCCCCGATAAGGAATCTGAACCATGTTGCAAATCGGCTTACTACGCGGTTATTGAGTCTCTAGAAATCATTCGCTGACCATATCGGTTCACGAGTACTGCTTTTGGGTCAGTTGCCTCAGCTGGTAATTGGAGGAGATTTAATGAGATTAAATAGGCACGGAGGCATCTACCACTTCGTTGTCATAAAACGACTTGAGTTGGGAAAGAGTTGTCCTAGGTGCAAACTCTGCAGATATAAGAAACGACGATAACTCCAGGAATTAATGATTTACAGGTGAGGAAATTACCTCCTTAACATTGGCTGGAATGTTTGCCAGATCGACGGAGAGAATGAGGGGTGTAGCGTGCATGGCCCACATGCCGAACTGGACTCGAGTCTCGTCCAATGAGAGTCCAAAGTTGCCTCCTAGCAACATGTCAAGGTCGTTCCAGTGTCCCGGACCGGCGACCGGAATGACGGTTTCCCTGTGGATCTCGTATTTCCTCATGATGGTCTGAAGTGAGACCCAGCTGTCCTGAAACCCAACGAAGGCGAGAATTGTTGTCAAAATATCTGGAAACACGACTAACGGCATTTACTCATTATCACTGACCTGAATGTCATCTAGCAGACGCCAGAGGTTGCAGTTTTCCGCCAGTTGAGTCCAATTCAAGTACTCGCCTTTCGTCCAGCGCTGGAACAGTGGATAGCTGCAACCGTAGACGATTGGACGCTTGGTGGCGTTCAGGTATCGACCGAATTCAGCGTAGCCATCAGCCTGAATCTAGCAATCAAGCAAATGCAACCTCAGTTATGTTCCAATCACCGTCAATACTTTACCATGCCACAGAAGAAAAGCCAATCACGCTGCTAAAACCAACCTTGAGGTCGCTGTTGCAACCGTCCATCTTGATGAAGTCGACGCTCCACTCTGCCATGGTGTCCGCGTCGACTTTGAGGAAGTCCATCGACCCAGGGTAACCGGCGCAGGTCTTTGACCCGAAGTCGAGGTAAATGCCGAACTTCAGGCCAAGAGAGTGGACAAAGTCGGAGAGCCATTTCAGGCCCTGGAAGAAATGTCGAAGAGGGATAGTGTCAAAAACCTACCCTACACTACCAACACACGAGAATCCAATGTTTCCGAGAGAAGGAAATTTGTTGTGAATCGCGTTAATTCACACTCTCTAATACGACCACTCCAGCCTCCGACACAGGGTCCCCCTTTTCGCAGCATGTCACCAGCCGCGCGGATCCTCAACTCCCCCTCATTAGCACGAATATTTATCTTGGATTATCCCCATACCTAGGTCTCGATGTTAGCTCATCTATGACTCACACATCCGAGCTATAAATACATACGCGCAAACGCCACACTCGACACAACGACATCAACGTGGTTGAGCTCTGAAGTAAACGGTTGTGTCCCGTCCTCTCTCCGATCTTTTTCTTCATCGCGGGTATCAGGGAAGCGTAATCTAGGCTAGGAGTAATTTAGTGTCCCCGGCGTGGTTCAAGACCACATACTGGGGCTCACATTAAGTTTCAGTCATCAGAAATTACTTTGGCTGCATAAATTTTAACAGATTTTGCGACCTCCAACTCTTGACAAATAATAGATATCATCTTGAATGAGAAAAAAGAACATTTTGGCACTCTTACTCTCGAATTTATTTACGGATACTAGAGAAAGTAGGTGCAGATTACCTGAGAGTTTCTATGTCAGAATTATCTTAATAAAATATCGTTCGCATCAATCTAATCAAGTTGATGATGTGGAAGTCCAAGCCGCCACTGAAATAAATCGATAACTGAGGATTAAGAGATCGTAAAATCTCGTAATAACATTAGTTGAAAGCGACAATGGTGATGATTCTTGGTGATGAACGGGTACACGCCACATCGAGGTCTGCATCGATCGAGATTACGTAATCGATTCGGCTGAATCGAAGTTAAGCTGTGTACCTTGACCTACGCTCATGGACCAAGACAGCCAATTCAGACGCCAGTATTCAACGGCCAAAGAAATTGTATTAGGAAGTAGTCGAAGGATAACGTCCGTGGACAATCATGGAATCCCGGTTGAGAGGAGGTGTCGAACAGTCGAGGTCAAAAGGACTTCAGAGATGTCGGTGAGCATGTTCACCTGAATTTACCTTAAATGTTCTAGGCGTTGAATTTACTTCAAGAACTAGTCGGCGTGCATCTCAGTGCCGCGTCCCAAAAAGTGAGAGTGGATCTGTGGCAGGATGAGATTGGAGAAGACCTTGTCGTGGGTCCCAGCATGTGGTCTTGAACCACGCCGCCACCATGGAATTAACTCTGGCCCGATTACGCTTGCCTGATACCCGCGGTAAAGAAAAAGATAGGAGAGGACACGAACACAACCGCTTACTTCAGAGCTCAACCACGTTGGTGTCGTTGTGTCGTGTGTGGAGTTTGCGCGTGTGTATTTATACCTCGGATGTCGAGACCTAGGCGTGTGGATACTCCAAGATAAATATTCGGGCTAATGAAGGGGGAGTTGAGGATTCGCGTGGCTGGCGATATGCTGCGACAAGGGGAACCCTGTGTAGGAGGTGGAGCGACCGGATTAAGGAGTTGAATAAACTCGACTCACGACAACATCTGTGACTCAAGGAACCCTGTGTGCGTATTCATTATTCCATTCTGCAGTTATCGTGGAAAACAAATCTGCCTTACGAAAGCCAACTGTCATGAATGTGTGCGAAGGACTGACTCATTATGACTCTGGCACCCGTTTGCGGCTTTACATGAACTTCCAAGCCTGCAACCACACCACGCAGTCATTCAGCGCGAAGCCAGCGAATTGTTTAAAGGCGAGGAAAAAACTACATCCTGCGGCGTATTTGAATTTGATTATAAAGAATGCATTGTAATCTTACATGAGGAAACCTTTTCGGGTCAGGGATAAGTTTCTTGGTAGATGGATCCCGGTATTTTGAAGGCCAGCAGTCGTCGATGATGATGTACTCGTAGCCCTTGGCTAACCACCCATCCGCTGCCAGGTGCTTCGCCTGTCGAACGATCAGGTCCTC